CTCAAGTCTTCTTATTTGGCTTTATTGAAACTTGGGAAATAAAAGGTGCCATACAATGTCAGAAAGTGCAAGACACAAATTATAGCAAAAATAACGGTAAATTAAAGTTGTGCTACATATGCAGCACAGATGTGTCCTCCAGGCATCCCATGGATTGCCAGAAAAAATGGGGAAGAAATATGGAAACTAAGGCAGGTTCAAGGAGGCCTTGATGATGGATTTGCACGTTTCTTTCACACAGCTGCAGGTTGTGGCAGACAAGCCCGCTTAGCTCCCACAAACTCTGCACAAGAGGCTGCCACTGTCGGCGGACTCCCTTGGATGGTGTCCCTGCAGGACCAGGACAGCCACATCGCGTTTGGCTCTATCCTGAGTAAATACTGGATCCTGAGCGCAGCCTCCAGCTTCCACAGCAGGTAATGCTACGGTGCAGGATTCCAAGCAACAAGCCGGGCTTCAGCCGCGACCCAGGCACTGTCGCCCTGAGTGGGAGTTAACGCAGCAATCCGTGTTGCTGTGGCAGAGTTTTTGTGAAATTTTGCAATAATATTCTGTACTGATTATATTACAGAAGTGTATTTATTAGTCAACCAGTAACTATTGATAAGTATAAAATATAAGATAGAAGTTTTTCTCTCTTTCTTTCATTTCTTAGTTTGTATTTTTAGTTTGGGGTTGTCTCTTTTTATTTTTAAAATTTTCTTTAAATAATGTTTTGTTAATTGTGTATGTTGAGAATGTTACATAAATAAATGAATGGATCACAGCTGTCCTCTCAGCGCTGGAAGAAAACTGAAAGAGGCCCATCCAGCTCCAGGCATGGAAGAGGTCAGTTGTGCCCTGGGCTGACCCTGTCCCTGACCCTGTCCCTGACAACCACACACACATCAGCAACACGCAATCAGCCAGGCAAAGCCTTTCTGCACCCAAGCAGTGCACTTTCAGATTGCTGGCTCTTAACATTTTGAAGCACACGGGAAGGTTTAAGTCTTTACTCTCAGCTAGGATCCCAATGGAAAAAAAATCTAATCTGACCCTGAGTTTCCTATGTCTTTTCTGGCATTGGAATGTCATTGGCTATAAACAGGTGAATGTTTCTCTATTACTCCATCTCCAGGCAGTGGAAGTTCATCTGATGAAATTTTGTTCCTCAAGCCCAGGAGATCTGCCAGAAAAAAGTGCCCAGGCCCATCAGGAAGGTCCAGGACTCCAGAGTGCCTCTTCTGGGCAATCAATGCTTCCTCCGGTTCCTTGCTGTTTCTTCCTACCCCTCCTTTGTTTCCAGGACCCAGATCTCAGCCCTGGCTGGAGCCTCAGATCTAGAAGGGCACAGGGAGTCCCTGGTGCCCATCCAGACCATCATCCCCCACAAGGCCTTTGACGAGATCACCCTTGTCCACAACGTTGCCCTGCTGAAGGCAAGCACTCCGTTCCGGTTCAGCGAGACCACGCAGCCCGTCTGCTTCCCCGCACCGGACTTCCCTGTGGCAACGCTGGGGAAGTGCTTAGTGGCAGGCTGGCTGGATCCTCGGGGAGGTGAGCCGGCTCTCGACCAGCAAAGCTCCCTCGCTGTCCTGCAGCTTTCAGCACCAGAGGGGGAGCCTGGAGGCGAGGAACAGCCTGCCAACCTTTAACTCAGATTTGCCCACCTTTAAACTTCACAAAGGCTCTTTGCTGTCTTGGCTCACCCAGGGAATGGTCCTCCGCAGAAGCTCTCGGTGGAAGACGTGGACCGCTGTCCCTTGCGCAGAACCACGAGCACCGAGTGCTGCAGCCACAGGGAGAGTGGCAGCGTGCCTGGATGCCTGGTGAGGAGGCTGCTCGGGTGCGCCGCTCCTTGAATTAACCTCCCCCCACAACCCAGCCAAGGGAGCTTCAGAGGGCCACCTTTTCCCGCTTTCAAACAATTGAAGCTTGCACTTAGCAACAATCTACCAGAAGGCGAGTATACCTGTAGCCATGTTTAAGTGTCAGTGTCTTTTGCAAGCCTCTGATGAAAAAAAAACAAAAAACCAACTGACCTCTGTCCCTCTGACCTATGAACAAAAGAATTGCTAAAATCTGGACTAGAGATAACTGTCACATAGAGAGTCGACTGCATTTGCATTACAGTTAAAGCATTTATACAAATGGGGCAGGGCTTTTTGCAGCTAATTCACACTCATTTGCTTATACCAATCCTGTGAGTGGCAATCAGTTGCCATGAGCCTCAAGCTCCACTTTAGACTTTGTGGTGAGCAAAATGGCCATTTAGGGCTCCTGATGGGGTCTCTTCTTCAAACCAGCACACCAACATTCAGCCCCACAAACGGCATCTTGCTCACTTGACCTGGGCACTGGGCACCGCTGACATGCTCATCCCTGCAGGGGGAGTTGCACTCTGTGATCCCAACTATTGGTGCCTTGAATCGTCCAGAGAAAAGGCAGTGTCAGCCTTGTGAGGTAGACCAGACAGGAAACATGGCCAGATGAGCTAATTCTGTTTTACTGTAAAGCAGCATTAACAGAATCTTGCAAGTCTGGAAGTACAAATCTCTGCCATCTCTTTTATGGCCTGAGAAGTTAGGGAGGGTCCTTCTTGAGCTTCCTTCTCTGCCCGTGATGCAGCTGTGGGATAAGGGAGCTGTGCCCCCTCTTATCTGACCGTTCCCTGGGCAGCATCTCTCCTCCCTGTCTCCCAAGGTCATTCCCACATGCCACATTACGGAGGGCTTGAATCGCTGATAGGCCGTCTTCTCTCCAAGGGGTCCGCAGGCAACCCAGTCCTGTGTGAGGCGGAGGGAGCGCAAGTGCTGAAGGGAGTGCTGAGTGAGGGGGGCGCCAGATGCTACGGGCCCTTCCTTTACAGCCAGGTCATCCACTACAGCGACTGGATTGTGACCACAACAGCAAAATGGGGGGCTCCAGCGTCTCCCTTTCCTGGCCAAAGGTATTCAGCCTTTGCGGCTCCAGTGGAGGAACATGAGGGGTTATTGTTTGAACCCTTTTTGGAGCTGAGAGCCTTGGATGCCTCCAATGCCTTGGAAAATCCTCTTAGCCTGAACCTCTCGGAAAAGCTGAATGAGAGCAGCCTGGGCCTCCCCGAAGGGCCAGCCGAGTCGCGAGTGAATCCTCCGCTCTACTATGACTACTACGGCGGGGAGCTGCTCCCTCCTTCTTCAGCAGAGCCTGGCCAGCCCCAGGGGCTGAGGGCCCTCATCGGCATGGGCTTCCTGTTGCGCCTCCGGGCTTGCTGAAGCGCAGGGCAGCCAGGGTGTTACCTGGGTGCCGAGACAAGATAGTTCCCAGCGACTGCTTTCTCTTGGAAGATTGTTCTGCACAATTAAAGTTTTATCCTTCTTAGGCATCTTGTCCCAGTGAAATGTGAAATTAGAGGTAACCCAGCAACACACTGGAATAATAAGTTTTGTCATGGGAGCAAAAAACAAAGAGCATCAGCACCTACAGAGCCCTTATGAAAGCCTATTTCCAGTTCCATATTTGCATGGAAATTTGAAAATGATCATAATCAGTAAAGAGAACATATCCAAGCTTTATATACTGTAACACCACCTCTAGATTTTAGAACAATCAGCTACGTGGCTCCACAAGCAGGGCCGGGGGGAGGGCAGGGGGTGCCGCAAGAGCCAAGGTGGTGGTGGCAGCGGCAGCTGTGTGGCTGGAGCTGCTCTGCTATGGGCCTCATGCAGGGCTTTGACCGCCTGGCCACGGCCACTAGATGCCCGTCCATAAGGACACTGCACCCTTTGTTATGTAATGTAGCATTCTTATTTATGAAGGGCGCCTTTATTTGAGCTCTTGGCCAGGCCAGATGTCTGTCTGCATTGCTGGACTGGACCAGTGATCTCTGTGGCTTAGGAAGGGGTGCAGGGAGCCCCCACTTCCCTTATCCCTAAAGATGGGATTTCCTGTGACGCCTTATGCCAGTTATGTATTCGGTCCACAACTTTGCACTTAGGGGTTAACTCTGAGCTGCAACCTCATGGCGGAGATGTCTGATTTTTTTCCTCATCTCTGGATTTTGTAACATCTTGTCTAATGAAATTCTGGAGCATGAACTCTTCCATCTTCTTGGAGTGCCAGTTTGGCTAGGCCTAACCAACAAGGCATCTGCCATCTCTGTTCCCCTGGGTTCAGGGGAGTGCCCTTTAGCGCATGGAACTGAATCATGCCCAGTCTGTGCAGATGCCCAAATCCTGCACCTGTACATTCATGCCACCATTCTCCAGCAATTAGAAAATAAATCAGAAATGGAACTTGGCAACATACATTTTTAAATTACGTTTTTAAGTGGGGGTTTAGTTAAATTGGAGTTTTGTGTGTGTGTGTGTGTGTGCGTGTGTTACAAATGATTTTTTAAAGGGTAAAATAACAATTTAGGTCAATTGATGTTCTGACAGTCACAGCCCAGACTTCTGCAATGAACACATAGCTCCTGTGCATGTGAAGGCAGGGTAACTTAAAATGTTTGTACAACTGGGAAAAATCAGGAACTCTTTTCTTTGTCCCCATATTTTTAAATCCTAATGTGAACCTGGTGAACAAGTCAGATGACCAGTCCATCTTGTGGAAAATTCAGAAGAATGAAGCACAACATGGAGGAGAAAATAACCACCTGTGTATTCAACAATTGTCGGGTCCCCACTTTACAAGAAAGAGGAGGAACCTTGAATAATGGCAGGAAGTCCTAGGGATCCAATGGATTTGGGGAGGCTAGGCCTAGACCCTTTGGGGATGGCTGCAAGGCTAGAGAAGCCCCTGATCAAGGAGGTTGGAGGGTCCCTGACCCAGGATGGAACTAGGTGGGGGTTTCCCAGCTTGTTACTCTGTTGCCATGCCCTTCCTAGGGCTGCCCTAGGAGCTGGGAGGAGGCTTCTCTTCTCTGATTCAGATGGGAGGGCAGGGGGTCAATTTGGGTCTGATGGGATTAGGCAAGGAGGGGAGCTGGGATTGACCTTGCTCACATCCAAAAGATGGGGAGGCAGGAGGTGCAGCCTCCATTTTGTTTGTTGCTTCCATGTTCTCCATGTGTCCCGTAGCCTTACCCCAACTCCAGCTCGTCTGATGAGGTGGAAAGAGGCTGGGTATCAGCTGAATTGGGCAGGAAAGCAGCAGTGGCTATAAAAGTCAGTCCAGGAGGCTATGCAGCTCTGCTCAGCTGAAAACGTAGGACCCAGCGTCCTGGCAGCCATCCTTTCTCAACAGAAAGCAACCGACAGGCAGCTATCATGGGCTCTTTGGAGGCCAGGATGGGAATGCAACATCTCCCCAGGGAAAGATCCACAAACTGCTCAGCCAGGACAGAGGTCTTTAGGCCGCCTTCTGTCCCTCTGCGGAATCCCGTCTCTTGTGGAAGAAGCCATCAAGCCGCTGCTCTGAATCATCTCTCCTTTGATCCAGGCTGAGCCGGGCTTGGAACACCAAGAGATTCAGCTGGAGACATTCTGTAGCTGCCGGAAAAGGTCTCACCCACCTACCTTGGACTCCAAATCAGGCAGCCCCTTACTTTTACAGCCAGACTGGGTAACCTTCACAGCAGGAAGCCAAGGAACTTCTTGGGGGAATCAAGAAACCACAGAAATGCCACGTTGCCATCAACCCCAGTAATATATCCAACATACTGTGCGAATGGCCATTGGTCTCCTGGGCTGAGATGAGCCCTCTCCTTTTTTTCATTAGTGAACCACCAGCTTAGGTATCTGCTGTAGTCCTCAGAAATATTTTTAGGAGTTTTGATATTTCAGTGGTGTTTGTTTGAATTGACTTCAATCTTGAAAGAACAGAGTCCATCTGGATCTGGAAGTCCCACAGGATCTTAGCCCTGTTATTCTATCTTGAAAGAACAGAGTCCATCTGGATCTGGAAGTCCCACAGGATCTTAGCCCTGTTATTCTATCTTGAAAGAACAGAGTCCATCTGGATCTGGAAGTCCCACAGGATCTTAGCCCTGTTATTCTCCACAACCTTCTGTGGAATCTCCCATCTGGACTTGGGAACGTCTAGCCCATACACTCTGCAGATGTTCCTGTACACAATGCCAGCTACTTGGTTGTGCTGTTCCATGTATGCTGTTCCTGCCTGCATCTTACACCCTGCCACTATGTGTTAGACTGTCTCTGAGGCCTCTCTGCACAATCTGCACCTTGGATCCTGTCCAGTGCAGTAGACCCCTGCTTCTATGGATCTGGTGCTTAGTGCCTCTTTTGTGCTGCTATCATCGGTGCCTCAGTGCCATCTTTTGGTCCAGCCCTTTCCAGCCACTGGTAGGATTTCCCAATGTCAGCCTCTTCAGCTGTCTGTCAATGGTATATTCCATGCAGGGTCTTGTCTTGCCATGGCACTTCCTCCACTTGAACTTCGTCCCATGTCTGCTGCTGCCTCAGGCATTCTCTCAGCAGCTCATCTTTAGGTGCCATCTTACTGATGTACTCCTGGATGTCCTGGGTTTCATCCAGGACAGTGGCTTTGACATTCACCAGACCCCTCTTTCTGGCTAGTGTATAGTCTCTGGGTGTTGGATCTGGGATGGAAACCTCCATACATTGTAAGGAGCTTCCATGTCTTCACATCAGCAGCCTCCATATCCTCCTTTGGCCAGCTCACTATACCGGCAGGGTATCTGATGATTGGCAGGGTGTACGTGTTGAAGGTGTGGATCTTGTTCTTCCCACTGAGCTGGCTCTTCAGGACCTGTCTTATCCTTTGGTGATGTCAGGTTCAGCCCAAGAACAGCAATGAGGTGATCCAGTACAGTTCAGTTCATTAGCTCGCACCTAACAGACAAAATCTCACCAGACTCAACCTATACTAAAGCAACTAGTGTCTATAACCCATGAGACTCTAGGGAAGGGCCAGCCTCATCCTCTTCATCTTCCCACACTCTTGCTGTGGGCTGAGGCGGTGCTTGACCTGGAATGTCTCTCCCCCCCAACCTTGAAGTTCCATTCCAGAATCTTCCCCGCTCGTGCCATCCATTACAGGTGGTACTTGGATGTTGCTGTCTTCTTTGCCTCCTCATAGTGGTTCCCACGTGACTGTGGGGTACCAACTTACTTGTAGCTGGTCTCTCTGTCTGCTACGTGGCCCACTGGTAGTTCCACCCCATCAGTCTTAACTACCTTTCCTCTCTTTACTACCATTCAGCCACACTTCTCCAGTCCGAATGACATCCCAATGCCCTCACTGTAGATCCGTGTCAGGTGGATCAGTGAGTTGATGTCTCATTCATTCTTAGCATACAACTTGATGTCATCCATGCAGAGGAGATACACAGGTCCACTCTTGAACTTGTACCCGTATCCAGTCCTTGTGATTATCTCTATATAGAAAAGTTTGCTATGACCGGGTTTTTACATGGAACATTTTGAAAAACAGGCTTTGGAAATGGCACCCGTTACCCCAACCGTCTGGTTCCAGTTTGTGGATGACACCTTCCCAATTTAGAGTCAGGATGAAGAAGAACTAGAGAAGTTTCTGAACCACCTAAACGGCATCCACCCCAATATACAATTCACATGGAAAAAGAAACTGATGGCAAACTCTCGTTTCTAGACATGTTGGTCATACGCAAACCGGACCTCAAATTAGGACACGTTTACAGAAAACCCACCCACGCAGACCAGTACCTACACAAAAACTCCAACCACCACCCATGTCAGAAAAGAGGCATTATCAAAACCCTGATGGATTGTGCCAATCGGATCTGTGAAACCCAAACACTGAACTTAACCATCTTAATTGGGTCCTACGAGTGAATGGCTATAAATACCCACAAAAGGATCACATCACAGAGAGAAACACTTTTTTTTTACTAGGACTGAATGACGAGGCTTTAAATATTTATTGATAAGATATGGGAAGAAGAGTTTTTTTGCTGTATTTTTAGAGAAATGATAAATTACTGTGCTAAAAGGAAAGGAAAGGAATATAAAAGTGATTTATTTGATTAAGGTTAAAATATATGTTATTATTTCTGGTAACTCTTAATGAACTTTTGCTGATTAGGATTGAATGATGAGGCTTTATAACATGTTCATTGATAAGAGATGAGATATGGGAAGAAGAGCTCTTTTGTTGAAATATCAGAGGTGATAAGTTACTGAAGTTGTTTGTACTTGATGGAGGGGGAAGTCTTTCTTTATATATCTTTTTTCTTTATCATATTTTTTTCCTTTTTTCTGCACTTTTTCTTTTTGTATTTTTTCTTTTGTATTTTATATTCTTCTTAGTTTGTGTTAGTTTTTTATCTTTGTATTTGTAAACTTCAATAAAAATTATTATAAAAAAAAAATCTCACAATGAAATCTCACACTACATATATATTTCAAGATGTCAAATATTCTGGACACTTTTAGATGTTGCCTCCAATACATGATTTTTTCTTGTTCCTCCAACATCTTGAAGTAGCATATGCTGTATAGTTCTGACACAAGATGGCATCCTCTCATAAATGTGCTTTTTCATATACTTTCCTGAAAAGTTTCTGGTTTCCTTCTTTTTCCTAAAAATAAGTTATTACTGAGACATCATTGAAGGAACAAAATATTTTTGCTTTGGATGTCTGGCTCCCACATTTTCAAAGCTTACAGCCTCCTCTTGTGGTTGCTGAATGCACGTCCTAATGATTTTCACTGGGATGTTTCTAGGATGACTCCCCCAAAGCGTTGGCAAACTGCATCTTCTTTCCTCTTGCACTGTTTTTTTTCCTTACCACAAAGATGGCAGTGCTCATCTTCTCATTTCTTGGAAATACTGACACTCTGCTTGACACAGACTAGAAGCTGACTTAGAATGGTTGCCCTTGCTTGTTACACCAACCAAGGATTGCAGTGATGCTCTCTGCAAAGGTGACGTGGGGATGCCTTTAGGCTGCTTTAAAATGACCTCCCCAAGTGTGGAGAACAATCCAGGCCAATTCTTCCCATCCAGTCATTCTCAGGGGGCTCATCGTCAATCCGGCCCTGATGGGATCCCCGATTGGCTAGAAGCTCTTGGCCTGCCTCTGTCTGTCTGGAGAAAGATACCTCCACCAGGAGGCTGTTTATGACCTATTGCTTGACTGGCTTCCTCCTTCATTTGGGTCCACCCCAGTGGGACCTTCCCTTGAAATGCAAAAAGCTTGAGAGAAGAAAAGATGGCTGAGCTCTTGTACAGCCCTGAGATCTGACTACTATTGATGTGCACCTGAACTAGGACCTGGTTCAAAGATGCCTTTGCTCTTTTTTTAAAAAATATAACTTTATTTTTCTTTTTTTAAAGAAAAAAACTAACAAGAACTAATATTTAGAGAGAGAAGAAAAAGACAAAACCTTTGCCCTGACTCTTGGTCATCCTTTCTACTTTTTCCTCGGGCACCAGCACCTGCTCAGGCTCCTGCAGAGGAATCAAATCCTTCCCGCAAGCCAGAACATGCAAGAGTCCATTTTCAGCTAGTGATTGCAGCTGCACTTCCTGTTCTGCATTTGGGGATGCATCTTTGGAAAATGTACTCCATTAGAGTTTGTCAGGCTTCAGACCCCCCTCTCCACTTCTCAAGATGCTAAATTTGAACCCAGTACACACAGATAGTCTGAACACACCAGTGTACTTACCACTCCTTTTATTCAGGCTCATACTGCTGAGTGAGTTTGAATATATCTCATACTTTGTAATCAAGCAGTTCTATTGTGATCTATTAACAGCTTAAGATAGATCAGTTTACTAACACACTTCAAAACCAGTTTGCAGACAGTTAAACAGAGACCTTGAAATCTGATGCACAATGGAAAAAGCCTCCCTCTTGGGGACCCACAAGGGCTTTGTGCCTCTCTGGAAACCAGTCCTGCTAACATGCAGTGGGACACCTCCGGCCCAGGGGGGTCACTAGGGCTGAAGCTCTGCACCAGGAAGGTGGGTGATCGGCACAGACAAGTTGGCTGAGTTTCTTTCCTGCCCTCTTTCTCCTTGTTCCTCTAGAGGCCCTGTGGAGCAAAGATGTTGGATGTGACTGTAGCTCTGCTATGCAGCATTGCCCCCACTTCCTTTCTTTAAAGGAAAGGAAGGAAGAATGCCACAGTGGGACGGGGGGGAGAGAAAATACAGTAGGTGGGGAGGGAGGGCCCCAAGATGGGACTAGAAACTGGGGGGGGGGCTGTCTTTGGGGATGCTGTACAGGCACCAGGCACCCAAGAGGCAAAGAGAGGCCATGGAAGGTCACAGAAGCCTCTGCTGTGCTGATGTGGCTCCTGCTCCCTTCAAAAGCCAGATGAGGGGGTGTCTGCAACCCCCTTCCCCACCTCTCTTCCTCTGTGTGTCTCTTGTTCCGGCAGAAGAGCCTGCAGCTGATGACTGGCCATCTTAGCCTTGTGCCAAACACTGAGGTAGCTTTGCAAGGCCATCTGCAAGACAGAAAAGAAGATGGTAACAGGCTGTGTCTCCTTTCACAGCACTTCCTACCAACAGAGGCCTCCCTCTTGCCTCTAAAGGTTCTAGCATCATCAGAAATTCTGCCTCTATGAAGGACAGAGTCCACCTCCCCAGGAATCTCCACTTCTGGGGGACAGGAGGGCTGATGAGACTGTGATGATGATGATGATGATGATGATGATGATGATGATGATGATGATGATGTTGGAGTTTTTCAGAACACATTGTGGATGTTCTCACAAAATGGCTAACAGATAACCAGTTAAAATCAATTTACCAGAATGTTACCTATCTGCCCCTATCACAGAATGTTGCAGATTATCCTTTTAGTCTTTCCCAGGTAGGGGGACAATTTCCAAACAAAGCACCAGTTGCAGCTGCCCACTATTATTATTCTATTATTATTATCCAGAAAAGCCCAGGGGGCCCATTTGGAGCCTAGACAAATACTTTGGGAATGGAGATATTCCTGGAGGTTGGCACTCTCTTTGCCACATGCCAGTTTGGTGTAGTGACTAAGGTGCTGGCCTAGAAACCAGGAGACTGTGAGTTCTAGTCCTCCCTTAGGCATGGAAGACAGCTAGATGACTTTGGGCCAGTCACTCTCAGCCCAACCTGCCTCCCAGGATTGTTGTTGTGAGGAAAATAGGAGACAGGAGTATTAGATATGTTCACTACCTTGAAGAGGCAGGATAAAATAATAATAATAATAATAATAATAATAATAATAATAATAATAATAATAATATCAGCTTCCCACTGATTACAAAAATGTCCTAAAATGTAAACAGTCAGGTAGGGGGGAGACCAATTAGCACCAAGGGAAGCATGTCATGTTAGGGAAGACCTCTGCAAGGTGGGAATCCCCTTTCCCCTTTCAGCAGTTGGCTGACCTCATGGTTACTCATGGCATTCTTTGCTGCACAGTGGTGTGAAGATCTCTTGGGTTCCAAAGTAGAAGCCAAAGGTCACACGGAGGATGGCCCAAGAAACTCCTGCAGGTCCTTCTCATTGACAAATGGTAATTGGCTCTTACAGAGGATTAAAGACTATGTTGTCCTCAATTTATTCCTCTCTAAGACCTCAAGCTAAGCAACTAACTTTGCAACTCCCATTCCAAATCTCTTTTTTCCTTGCATCTATAAATGTTGGCGTATTCGTAGGGTGATGTCTATTCAAAGCACCCAGAAAAATCAGCCATATCTACCTTTCACATGAACACAAGCAAACACCATGGTCGGAACTTACCTACCTCTTACTTTTCTCTGTTATTGACCTCTTCTAATTCTTGGAAAGTTTAAATCAAAAGCTGCTCTACAAAACAGTGAGAACCAAGTTCCTGTCTGCAGTCACCAACTAGATAACACAATCCTTCATAACAATAGAGCCTTAAGCATTTCACCTATATTTATTCCCATGATTTTCCCATGCTGTTTAGGAATTCTCTCCAATAGTGATTTTTGCTTCTCTTCAACAGGATGCCATGAACTGTCTTATGGCACATCAACTATGTTGTCCTCCTGCAAAGAATGCAGCCAAGTATCAAATGTGCTTCCAACAAAAAGTTACATACTACTCACAGCCATACCTCTGCAATTTCCACCTTCCTCTCCCAGATCTTGAGGGTATTTTCTAGTTCATAAACTGCCATTTTCTCATGGACATAGTTGAGAACAGGAGGAACTTTGTATTCTGTCAGTTGTCTCCGTAGTTTTTTGTTCAGAATCTCAGCCATTTCCCGTTCCTGTGAAAGAGAAAAATATTCTGATAAAAATTCTGATCTGCAGCTTGATCTTTTTCCTACCACTGGATTAACATTAACTGGGAGTCAGGATGCTTACACCCAGAAAATGGCACGGAGAATGGATTAAACCCATCCCCGCTTATCTCGTTGTTTCCTTAAAATAATCCCTTCCTGCTTCTTTAAAGAAATGACATTCATAGTACATAGTTTGGCCCTTCATGGGTCCTACTGTTAGTGACCAGTCATGGTAGGGAATTTCTACACTGTCACTGTTTCCACTTCTCAACTCCCCGTAAAGCAGTGTGAAAAAGATCCACAATTGTCTTCACTTTGGTCAACTCAGAAATGCTGGGAACAAGGACCAAAAATCACTGGCCTGCTCCAAGCTGCCACAGTTCCCACAAGAACAGTAATTCCTGCCCCCTTTGAAAAAACTGAAGCAGCTTCCTCAGTTCAGGAAAGGAGTTTCCTCTCTAGAGTTTTTAACCTTTTATTCACATCCCATGAAAGATAGTGAAGCCAAGAATTCCAAGGATTGCTATTTTCATTTCCTGCCCAGGCTTTACATGCACATGTTTTTCTTCCTTTTAGGGCCTGGATTTTTTTCCTCACTCGAATAATTTGATCTACATTGATTGAGGTACCTGAGAAATCAAAGGCAACTGTTAAAAAAAAAAAGAGTAAAACTACAGTAAAATCCAGCTAATCAAATGGCTCCAAATATCCCATGGAAGCAATATGGCTGGCGTCATTGAGGTTTATCTTTTCCTAGAAACAGGATTCTGGCCCCTGCTGAGAGCCTACCTCTTAATCCTACCTCTTCCACAAGGATGGCTTCATGTGCAATTTTGTCCAAGGATTCCTTTTTCTGTGCAATGTCTTTCACCAGGTGGGTAGCCAAGGTAGTTGCATATTGCAGCTTCTTCTAAAATATAACATGACCCAGAGGGAGATGGACTCAGAGGGTGGCATCATTGTCAAAGCACAAAAATTTGGATGTATCTTGATTTGACAAAATCTCCTGAGAGATCCATTCTGACAAGAGGACAAAGGTCAAACAGGTCAGTCTGATGGCAAAATATGGGTTGGACTCTGCTTGTTTGGATGCATGCTTTCCTTGAACCCCTTTCAGATTTCCATGTTCCTCCTTCTTGTCTAGGAACGCTATCAGTTGGAAAAGATGCAACCAAACTCTTGTTGTTTGGCTATCCTAAACTGATCTTTCCTACAGGACCGAGAGGAGAAGAGCCAAGGTTCTTTTGTAGCTGACTGATGATGGGTATGTACATGATGCAGGGATGGAAAGCACGTGATGAGGGATATTTCAGAACCCTGTCAGTAGCCCTCTTGAGCTACAGATGAAGGGCCTGAGCCAGGTAGATTTGTTTATCTTACTTTGTAGAAGTTGAGGATCTGGAGGGTGTTGCCAACAGTCAGCTTCAACTGTAGTAAATCCTGGTTTCGTTCATCTATTTTCTCCAGGAACTGAGCATTCTCAATCTTGAGCTGCTGGAAATCGACCTCATGAAGTGCCTCTCCAAGCTCCTCCTTCTGCAAATCAGCCACAAATTGTGATGATCAGTGTGACAGGTACCCATCTGAAACATTTCAAGAGCCAGCCCAACCTGACTAGGCTGCAGAAGCTAGATAATTCCTTATCTGTGATTTGACAGATTCTGCAATCTGACCCTTCACTAGATAATTCCTTATCACTAATGCTTCACAACAGTAAAGCCAAACTCAGACAAGCACAAAGAAGTCTCAACTGCAAGAAGAGGCTGAAGAGCTGAGGCTGTTTAGACTGAGAAAACCAAGAAAATTTCTGGGGTAGGGTAAAGAGAGGGAGGGAGGAAAGTAGGGTGAGTGACAGCACAGCTTTAAGGTGCAGATCCAAAAATGATGTGCAAATACATTTCTCTTCTGTCCTGCAACAACTGAGGTTAGGCAAAGTTTTTAGAGAGCTTTATTCAAGCCTTAACTACCCTTGCTAAACTTGGTTAGTTCTAGCTCTGGTTAGCTTTCTGTGGTTAGTTTAGTTAGTTTGGGTTAGTTCTTTTGTATGATGTACAAATTGAATCCATTTGATTAGTCTACAGTTGAATGTATTGTATAAATCCAGAAAATGGGTCAGTTCAGTAGCCCAGTAAAGTATGTTCTACAAACACAACCCCAAACTGTGAAGCATTTACAAGTGTCCAAGGTCAGAGCAACATGGAGCTGTATTCCTAAGCATGCTTATGACTTGTAAGTATTACAGTTTTTGATCCAGCATCGTTACAATGAGATTGCCAAAATTCTAGATAGCTAGAGCTGTTACCTGATCTGTTCCCCCACAAACTGCACAAACTCCAACACTTTAACTAAACCCTAAGGCTCAAAATATTAAATATGACTTTTCCAAACAAGCAAGACCTCAGGTTTTATAAACATGCTCTCAGCCTCCCTAGCTACATGGCTGATGGTAGACAAGACAATGGTAGATTTAGCAGAGATTAGATACATCCGGCAAAGAGTTTGACAGCTAAGGATCGACAGAGTCCAGCAATATCTTTTGTTCATATCCAGGGAAAAAAACCACGAATCAAACCAGACCCTGAACTCTATTCTGCACATCTCCATATCTTCTATAACATGGCCTTTTTAATTTATACTTTTATCTTTGTTTCTGTAATTTTAGTTTCATACTGAGATCTCTTCGTAAATACAGCCTACCTCCATGCCTCCAATGTTCCCGTCTTATCTCTCTCTGTCCATAAGCTGATTATCTTCCAACTGGAAGGAGGGACTGCATTCCCTATACAGGAGGAGCCTGTTCATCAGAAAACCCAGGAAAAACACTCTCTGAACTTTTCCCATTCTTCTGATTGCAGCTATTATTTAAGGGCACCATGTTGGTTCTATGCCAATCTGAGCCTTGCTTTTTAAGCCAAAGGGGATGGATTGCTTTTAACATTTGTACACAGAGAAAGCACTTTTAATTTTCTGATGCTGAATTTGAAAAGATTTTGTCATGTCCTGTTGCTGTTGCTAGATCATCTCAGTAAAGCCTTTTACTAAGATAATCATTTACAAGTCCTGTCTGTCACCAGTTTGCTTCTGGATCCAATTCAAGGTGCTGGTGATGACCTATAAAGCCTTACATGGCACGGGGCCGCCTGTCCCTGGTTACATCTACCCACACCATCAGGTCTGGCAAGAGGCACCTGTTACAGGTCCCATCTATTAAGGAGTATCATTTGACAGGACCCAGAAGGAGAGCCTTTTCTGCTGTGGCATCCACCCTGTGGACATCATCCCTCTGGAGATTAGATTGACCCCAACCCTGCTGGCCTTTCAAAAGACCCTGAAAACATGGCTTTGCCAATGGTCATGAGGACCAGGAAATGTGGCAAAGCCAGCACAGAGGTTGTACTGAGTATTATTGTCAGATGTGATTACCTCAGCCATGAATTCTATGATTTTTTATGATGGCTTTTATATGCTTTTGTATTGTTTGCATTGTTTTAATTGTATTGTCTGGTTGTTTTATATTGTTTTATCTGTTTGTAAGGAGCCCAGAGTTATATATATGAAAAATTGGATGGATGGATGGATGGATGGATGGATGGATGGATGGATGGATGGATGGAGATAGGCAGGCAGGCAGGCAGGCAGGCAGGCAGGCAGGCAGGCAGCTAGCTAGCTAGCTACAGGAAAAAAAAAAACCATTTCACCCCATTGACCATTTCCTACATGCTGAAGTATTTGCTTTTGACTTCTTGGGACATTTACCAAATTAAAAGAAAAGTATAATGACCCTGGCCCTCCATCATCTGCTCGGCCAGAGAACGCAGCAGCCGTTTTCTCTCTTTCTCTTTATCCAAACTAAACTGAGTTGTGGATTTGTCTATTATATGAAAGAAAATACCATACTTTTTGGTATTTAAGTCAAATTAATATTGATATAATTAGATACTTGAAAATTCCACCAATTTATGGCAGAAGAATGAATGTTATTAAATTGAATCTTAGTTCTAGATTGATATTTTCTAAGGAGGATTCCTATGCTAATTACTCTTAAATATTCAACAGATCAACACATTATTGAGAAAACTTTTATGGGATAGACACACACATACCCCTCCCAGGTTTCCTCTGTCTAAATTGCAGCTTCCATATAAAAATGGCAAATTTGAGTTTCCAGATTTTCAATTTACTGCTGGGCTTAGGTTTTTACTTCTGTGTTCTTTCCAGAGCCCAGCAATTTGTTTCAAAAACCATTACTGGCATAACTAAAAAATTACTAGCTGACCTCTCCGATACCTAGGGAGGGCTCAATTCCCACTTTAGCCTCAGTCCAGTTGTTTTTCCAGCATCAAAGGCTACAAGGTGTATTTGGAGGATCTGGATGGAAGCTGACCCCTCTTCATTAAAAAAGGACATTATGGGATCATCGCAATCTAAACCGATAGTTTATTTCAATAGATCACTGAAGAATATTGCTAAAATACATACAGTACTAGTGGAATATGCACTTTGAAATATGCAGTTTCAATATCTTATTCTAACAAATGAACAGTCATGTATCTGGAAGAATGTCTAATGTGTTTCTTGTCATCTTCAGATGAGATTCACGACTTTTGCCACCCTGCAGTTTCACTGCCAGCCTGCTGGATTCCCAGGCTGGCAATGAAGCCTTTTCCAGCTCTCAGCCACTTTCAGGACACAGGACCCCATCTGCACTGCACTTACCCTGACTCCGATTGCTGGCCTTTATTACCCCTCCTGCCACAGAGGGGAAGGAAGCAACAATGGCTTTTCTTTTTGGGGACAGGTCTTTAAGGATGCATGATTTCAATGGTGAGCCCTTTGGATGAAACCCCCTCCCTTGTTTTCCCCTGCACTTCACCCCACTTAAAGGCAAAACACATCCTACATTTCACCTGTCTTGCAACCCAGTGTCCAGTTGCCACAGAGGATGTCTACCAGTGATGGTAGGGAAGGGGCACTCCTGTCACAGTGACCAACTGCGGTGGAGGGATTTCCTTACAATGAAAGGAAGCCCAGAGGGTGGATTGGAGAGCCTGCTTGAGCTGGCATAAGTGGGAAAACCCTCTTTTTGAGGTGTTGCAGGAAAGGTGGAAAGAAGTTGCCTTCCTGATGTGTGTAATGGGCAGTAAGAATAACCTTGAGGAACAGGACAACAGTCATACAAAAGAAACTTGAGTCCAGGGCAGAAATGTAATTTGATAAAGACTTGACCCTCCCTATTTCTCTCGAAGATAAAGGGGGGGGGGACATATAAAGACTTGCAAGCTTCTGTTATTAAAAGCACTTTTATTAAAGCTTACAGTTTTAGTATTCATCACTTTGATTTCCTAGTCTGGTCTACCTTGAAGGGCTGACAATGTGCTGGGGGGCAAGTAGAGGGCACTATGTGTTCCTATCCTTAAGAGGTGGTTAGCAGCCCTCATTCATCCTGGGGCAACCCACATGTGGGGATCAGTCCTAATTCATCAGTTTATGGGACATGTGGCAGGTTGGGTGTTAACTTTTTTATGCTGGAGTTATTTTTGAGGAGATTCTAACACATATAATTTAAGCTGTCCATATGGCTGTCCCGTTTTGGTCTAATGTTCACATTACTGTTGATAAGATTTGAGAAAGAGAAGAATTTAAAATGTTAAGGTGATGTTTAATTATATATCACAATCTGGAACTTATCAACTGATAAAGAACTTTGTCTTATCAATCTTAAACTCTATCTGCAGTAGTAATTGAGTACTGTGACAAAAGAAATTATCACTCCAGATCTGAAATTCTGGGTTGAAGGAAAATGTTCACACTCCCAACCTTTGAAGCCACATTACAGAAAGACTGACCTATAGGATTCCACATCGGGCAAAGTTCAACTTGTCACTTTTATGTATTTAATACATATACAGTGGGGCAAAAAAGTATTTAGTTAGCCATCAATTGTGCAAGTTCTCCCACTTAAAAAGATGAGAGAGGCCTGTAATTTTCATCATAGGTATACCTCAACTATGAGAGACAAAATGAGAAAAAAAATCCAGAAAATCACATTGTCTGATTTTCTATGAGAGACAAAATGAGAAAAAAAATCCAGAAAATCACATTGTCTGATTTTCTATGAGAGACAAAATGAGAAAAAAAATCCAGAAAATCACATTGTCTGATTTTCTATGAGAGACAAAATGAGAAAAAAAATCCAGAAAATCACATTGTCTGATTTTCTATGAGAGACAAAATGAGAAAAAAAATCCAGAAAATCACATTGTCTGATTTTCTATGAGAGACAAAATGAGAAAAAAAATCCAGAAAATCACATTGTCTGATTTTCTATGAGAGACAAAATGAGAAAAAAAATCCAGAAAATCACATTGTCTGATTTTCTATGAGAGACAAAATGAGAAAAAAAATCCAGAAAATCACATTGTCTGATTTTCTATGAGAGACAAAATGAGAAAAAAAATCCAGAAAATCACATTGTCTGATTTTCTATGAGAGACAAAATGAGAAAAAAAATCCAGAAAATCACATTGTCTGATTTTCTATGAGAGACAAAATGAGAAAAAAAATCCAGAAAATCACATTGTCTGATTTTCTATGAGAGACAAAATGAGAAAAAAAATCCAGAAAATCACATTGTCTGATTTTCTATGAGAGACAAAATGAGAAAAAAAATCCAGAAAATCACATTGTCTGATTTTCTATGAGAGACAAAATGAGAAAAAAAATCCAGAAAATCACATTGTCTGATTTTCTATGAGAGACAAAATGAGAAAAAAAATCCAGAAAATCACATTGTCTGATTTTTTACAGGCCTCTCTCATCTTTTTAAGTGGGAGAACTTGCACAATTGGTGGCTGACTAAATACTTTTTTGCCCCACTGTACATCTTCTTTTGTTGGATTCCCCCTAACCTTTTTACTTTTTTCCTTTTTCTGTTTGCTTTCTGTTCGAGTTTTTAAAAAGTATCTACTGTATATACAATGCTTTATATCTTGTAGGGGTTTTTTAAACTTTTTTTTTTGGTACGTTATATAAAAAAATGTAATGCATGTTTTCTGGCATTGTAAAGAATGTACTGCAAAAAGATATGTACCTGCTTGAGCTGCATCTGCATCTTCTTCTTCTGAACTTTTAGAGAATCGTTTTTCAAACGAATTTTCTCTTTCATAATATCCTGAAAAATAAACAACCTGACTGATTTTTCAGACTTCTGCTTACTTTGGGAGGGTCACTTTCCCTCCTGTGTTTGATCAAAATACCCAAGATGCATCAGGGACCTGGGACAGATTTGCACATCATGCTAAACCAGAAAGCTGTTTGACTGGATTGGGGCTTGTGTGATCTGTGCAGTTTAGGATTATATGGACTATATATTGAGTTATATTGGGTTGTTCTGATTAGGCAACCATGCAAATTGAATAAAATAAATATAAATAAATAAACCAAGTCACCATGAGTTTGAACATGATGAAAATGAATCCTACTTATGAGCCAGGACTGACTTATCTCAGTCATCATATATGACAAAGAAAAGCTGCCTTTTAATTCTGTTACCCATAAGATATGACTACCACAATAATTTCTGAGTTTTGGAACCAATTTCAATGTTCTTATTTTCTGTGAAATAAAAATATGTGAAACATCTTATATTTATTTATTTCAGATTGGAGAAGGAATATAACTAGAATTCATGAAACAGAAACCAAATACACCTTAAATGGATGGTTAAATGGATGGTTTGTCTTGTTCTGATTTTCTACATTTTATAAGGCAGACACAGAAATACTCTGAGGAGGACAGGACCATGGTGTACAGGTAGTCCTCGACTTACGATGGCAATTGGGACCAGTATTTCTGTCGCTAAGCGATGGAGTTCTAAAATGCAACTGCATCACTTAGCAACAACAATCCCTGCAGTCCCAGTTGCTGTCATTAACTGAATCCCATGGTTGTTTGGCAAGGCAACTTCCTGCCAGCTTCCCACAATCAAAGTCAGTGGGGAAGCTGCCAGGAAGTTGCAAGTCCTAGGCCCACAGGCAGGCAAGTGGCTGCTGCTGGCTGGGGGAGGGAGTGAGGGGGTGGGTGGGGGTGTAGGGGATGGTTGGGGAGGGTATGGCAGGGGCGCATGAGAGGCCCTGCATGGGTTGAGGAGGGTGCCATGCAGGTCGGGGAGGGTACACGGGGGTGCATGAGAAGTGTCATGTGGGTTGGGGAGGGTGCGCAAGAGGCACTTCGCAGGTTGGGGAAGGTGCACGAGGGTGTGCACAACAGGTAGTGCATGGGTCAGGGAGGGTGCACACAAAAGGCCCTAAGCAGGTTGGGGAAGGTGCGTGAGAGGCACCATGTGGGTCAGGAAGGTGCGTGAGAGGCACCGTGCAGGTTGGGGAGGGTGTGCAGGGGTGCACAAGTGGCCAGTGCGGCATGAGCAAAGAGGGGCTAGGGGAGGGTGCACGGATGGGGGAGACTTACCCCAGCAATTTGAAATCTTCCCTGCTGGCTTCCCCTTTGACTTTCTGGGGAACCCAGCATGGAAGGCTGCAAATCATGATCACATGATCATGGGGTGCTTGGCAACTGATCATAAGTGTAAATGGACTGCCAAGCACCTAGATTGCGATCATGTGATTGTGGGGGTACTGGATGGCCGGAACTTCTAGGGTCAGTCGTAATCACCATTTGGTGCCATCATAACTTTGAACAGTTGCTGAACGAATGGTCATAAGTTGAGGACTACCTGTAAATGGAAAGGACATTCCTTATCCCAAGATACATTACTTCCTTTGGCTCAGGGGTTACACTACTTTGCACAGCTTATAAATTTAATAAATAATAAATACATGTCAAAGGCTGCATTCCCATTTTGGGAGGGTGTTTCAGGAATTTTAAGGGGTGACATGGGTACCTCAATAATTTGCAAGGCTTAAGGTACCCTGAAACTCCCAAGCCCAAACTTCTGACCTCCCCCATTCTCGGGGCCAGAAAAGGAATACTGGTGGACCACACTTTTTGCACATTTTATAGTTCCAATGAAAACTTTCTATCTCTCCAAGCTGTGACTTAAAGAGGGAGAGAAGCTGTAACTTCTATTAAGATACAGCTAAACCAAAACCCAAGACAGCACATTCTATTTCCTTTATTTGTTTTTTGTTTAATCAATGTATATGACCGCCCAATTCACCAGTTGCAACTCTGGGCAGCTTACATAGGATTAAAAAAAAACACAAAAAATAAAACAGAAATACAACCAAGGCCAATCACAGTCATAATCTCAACCATTACAAAAACAGTCTCATCCAACCCCCTAGCCTATGAATTCTGTGATGTCAGATGTCTAAGCAATATTCCTTGCTTCCATCCTGATATCATTTATACCTAAGAAAAAAGGATCAACTGGACCTAAGGGAGGAGATTCCCAAAATGGCAATCCTATTTTTTTTATGCAGCTTTGTAAAGTCAGAGATATTTATTTTATAGAATGATCTGATAAAGGAGCGATTTTCAATCATTCTCTAATGGCAATCACTATTATAGATAATTGAATATGTTTCATTTTTTGGCACATACCAAAGATCAGGAATACTGTAAGAATGGTAATGGGAAAAGAGACATTGTGTCCACATTTCAATGTAAATATAGTTTATAAGAATAAAATGAGAAGAACCAAAACTGCCAACTTTCTCTACTGACCCTAGAGCGAATCCTGTCTTCCATATATCGCAGCACCTTATCAGATGCAATGACACTCCCTTTCTTCTTAGTTATGGTTTTGACGATGTCTTTGTCAAACTCCATCATAGCTCTCTTAACTTCAACCATGCGAATATCTGCTTCCTCTAGGATAGCCTGCAGAATTCAAATTACACTGGAAATAAATAAATGTTATATTTTGTTTACTTGTGGGGGGCTTGGAACTCAACCAGCCAAGCAAAGCAGACACCCCTATCACCAGCCAAGGCCACAAAGAATACAACTGTTTGGCTCTGCTACAGCTCAGGGATGGGGACCCAAGCTGCCACCCTCAAGATAGTGAAGTCTTCCTAGGCCCTGGTGACACAGGCTGGGAGCTACAGTCTAGCTATAACTGGAAGACCACAGGTTCCTCATTCCTGAGCTACAGCACAGGACACAAAACAGCAATTCTAGGGGTAATGATACCAAGTAATTCTGCAAGATCCTTTCAGAGTTCTCCTTCATCTGCTGAATGTCTTCTTTAGTCTCTTCCAGCTCCCGCTGTGCAAGGTCACATTTCTGTTCCACTGTCAGGCATATCAAACGATCTGCTGTGAGCCGGGATTTAGATTTGCGTCTGCCCCGCGGCTAGATTAGAATCCAAAGGAACAGCACTTAGTTACACTCGAGTCTATAGCAGAAGCCATGAAAGTTGCTTTTCAATTTTAGAGTTTGCCAAAGTAGTTTTTAGCTTTCCTCTTTTCTGATTCAGTATTGTTAAATGTCTTTTGAGACACTGGGTACCACTATGACTTAAAATCTTACCTTACACACATCTATTTAGAAAAATATTTTCAAACAATAAATATGAAAACAACTCCTGCAACTCCAGTAGCAGCATATTCTATACTGGGTCCAACATGGAAGAATCAGAATTAACCACAGTGTCGAATTTATCTACAGAGATACCAAAAAGATGTCTTGCTGATGATGTAAGGGAACAAATTAGTAGCTTGGGCTCTAAGTTATGTATGTATGCCCTTGTGCACACCTTCAGTTGGGCTGCTCAGCCCCTATGCTGTGTTCTGGGCCAGCTATGACTTCCGAACTGTCTCCAAGAGCTGTTCCATGAAGACTATTACAAGAATCAACACATGAGTCACCAAAGCCAAGTTCTTCTCTTCCTAATAGGGATGCAGTTGCTTCCTCAGCTGAAGGCAATAAATGCCTTCCTTGCCACAGATGTATGTGGCTGTCCAGCCTCAATGCTGGATCCAGGAGGACCTCCAGATTCTCAGGGAGAAAGCAACTCCTTCCAGGGTAGGCATTCCTCCCAAATCCTGAAATACAGCCCCCTCCATTTTACCACCAAGTTTTGATCACATCCAGTTCCTTACACTCTGGAACATTCATTAGCCATGGAGATACCCAAACTTGAGTTCATAGGAAAGGAGAAATACAGCTGTCTATTAACAGTTCCAGAGCTGTGAATAATCCTTCCCAGTGGCTTAATATAGATGTAAATATACAGGATGTGAGACAAGAAAGAACCTTGAACACACCAGGGTTGAGCAGAAGTCCTCCAGTATTATTTTCTGGAGACATAGGGGCAGAACCATCACAAAGTGACACTTCAATCCGTAGCTCCCTCAAGCACTCCAGCAAGAAACTAGGGTCAACAACATCATAAACCACTGAAAGTCCAAGAGTAATAAAAAGATCACTTTTTTTCTTTCTCTCTAGGTGACCCAGTCTCACTCTCAGTAAAGGTCTGGGTGACCAATATTGTCTCCATGTCAAATTCCAGTCTAAGTCCAGAATGAAAAGGTGACAATCCACTTTAATACCTCTCTGAGCTTGGCTAAACATGGAATACTGGATATTAGCTGATATTAAAATCAGCCAGATCAAAGAATGATTTCCTAAGCAACGGTATCACTGCTGCATCCCTAAGGAATCCACCTGTGAAAAAGAAGCATTAATGAACACAATGAAAATTGGTCAGATGAAATATTTGGAGACCCTGTTATAAGCAAAGTCAGGGAGAGATCCAAGTAAACGTGAACAACTTATCCATTTCTTCAACAGATTGTGAATCTGATTCAGACAAACAATAGTGGACGATGTGGTGGACCCCTTAGGTACGACATTGGTCAAACTGGCTTTTTCCAAATGAACTGCCCAGATTGCTCACCACGGAGTTCAGTCAAAACCGGAGGGCAACGAAAACCACAAGACTTTGTCATTAACCAACAACTCCCTTGGCTGGCTCTTTATGGGTGCAATCAAGGAAAAGATCCAATGCCACTTCTCCTCTCTGACTGCTGCCGAGTAGATCTTATGATCTTGCTGCTGCTGTCCCACTTGTATTCACCCTTGGAGCTGTGCCATACTCAGTCAAGCCTTCTCCCTCCTGCTTCACTGCTACAGGCTCCAACATGAGCTGGGAGTGCTCAGAGGACTATGATGTTCCATTTCTCGACCATGTTACTTATAGATAGCTGTCCAGGTTTGAGAAATTACCCCATTTGGAATTCAGCAGAATTCATAAACATCCATGTATGGATCAATCTAATCCAATCTCTATCCCTGATGAGGAAAAATGCTGTAATAATCCAAACCTTACCAGGAAGTGCTCCAACCCTGACAGGTGGGATATTGGTTTAGGTGTTGGACAATGGATAGGGAAACTCAGATTCAATCCACTCTCAGCCTGGAAGCTCACTGTGGACAGTCCTAATCTCTCAGGCCAACTGACTTCACAGGGTTATTGTGGCAAAAACCAAAAACAACCCTATACGCCACCCTGAGCTTGTGGAGGATTGGCAGTCTGCATCTAGCAAACAAGGGTATCACTGCACTGCATTTTCCAAAGTATGGGGAATCATTAAGGAGGGGAAAAACGTCTTTGGTAGTGCCAGGGACAAGCCAAGGAAAAACTGACCATCTTTGTCTTCACTGCACTTCCAGATGGACCTTTCTGGAAGACTCTTCCCTGGGCTCTTTGCTTATGCTAGGCAGCCAAACCTGAGACTTCTGGCACCTGCTGCTCCGCCTGCCCTGTTCTCGGGGATCTCCTGAGTTGCACAGATTTTGTGGGTTGTGAAGTTGCAGGAGCATGATGGAGGGGGCTGCTAAGCTTAGGCTAGCATTAACAAGTTGGGATTGCTCTGCCCAAATGCAGATTCTGACTGCCATGAAGAAGCTATAATAAATAGATTTAAGGGAAGGTTTGGAGGAAAGGTTTAAGATAAAGCAAATACTTCAGGACATGTATTAATAACTAAAGTAAAACAATAAAGTGTTTCAGAGTGAATTGACAAACTAGATTTAACAATGTGGAGGAGTAAAAAAAATGAAGATACCCAAGGATTAGTCTGGCAAGCACACTAGCTGTATCTGCACATTACAATTAACCAAGTTAGTAAAAACCTAATGGCTGCATTTGCACAACATATTAGCTTGTTTAGTTTTAACTTCTTAGTGTTTTTAAAGCCTAAGACATATTGTATGAATGCTGCCAATTCTGATGGGCAAACAAAGACCGTGGGTAAGTTCTGCAACCAGACAGCATGCGATGCAACTCAGTCCTCCTGAAAACCCACCCCGTCACTAAAATTGCCACACAGTAAATCACTCCATAGCTTACATACTGCGCTTGTCCCAAGTCCAGCGATGAACCACGTTTTTCTGCTCCCAAGTCTCTTGGCTCAAATCTATTGAAAAATTTCTCAAACATTGCTGTTTCAATTTTGAGCATGGAGTTGGTATGGCTGAATGCAGAGAAAAACGCAATGAGTAAAGTTATAGGCATGTGACTAATCCAGATGTCTCAAATGAGAAAAAATGCCAGTAGCACTTGAACAAATACTGAGAAAGACAAATTCCTTTCATTAATTCAGCCCTTTCAAGGGTTTTAGGGCATGTAGACCACTCCGAGAGTCCCTTTCAGATTAGTAGTATCAATGTAAATTCTAGGATGTTAATAAATGAATAATATCTAAAATAGGTGTCTCAGGATGTTCTTTAAAACTTCTATAACTTTCCTTAAATATGATCAAAATCAAGTAGTACGACAACTCAGGTTACCTTCTAGGGGACCTTCTATTTATCTGACCTCCGCTGAAAAGTAGAAAAGCCCTTTGTCAATCTTGTTTTCTCCTCATTGTCTCTGGTTCAAAACTATTATTTCCCAGCCATAAAGTTGGAGCCGGATTTCTTATCAGCCCCAAGATAATGGATCTCACTTTATAGGATGGGATCCCCTTGAAGGTGGGATGGGTGAGCTGAATTCTTGATCTTATGAATTCTGCTGCTGATCATGATTTTCTGTTTTTAAATTGATTATGGACAGTTTTTTATTGTATGGTTGCATATCAGTTTTTAACTTGTTTTTATTGGATTGTTTTTACCCACTGTGAGCCACCCAGAGTCACTTACATGAGATGGGCATCCATACAAATTGAATAAATAATAATTCCTTGATTCTGGGAGCAAAGGATATAAGCTGGGTATCACATGTACCATTTCAAAATAGGACTCAGCTTCAATGGGAGGTAGCAGACTATGCAATACAAAGCTTTCCTAATATTCCTTGTAGAAATAATGATATCCTATACATGTTTATCCCCTTCATGGATCACTGCCTTGTCGTGGCGAAGGGGCTTGCGTAACTCAGTGAAGCCACGAGCTATACTGTGCAGGGCCACCCAAGGTGGACAGGTCATGACAGAGACTT